TGGCTGCCCTGTGTTATCCCCTATTGCTCAAAATGGTGATACGTAATGAGGAGCCCATACAATGGAAAGGGGGCCGAACGGTTGCTCTGTTCAAAGGCAAAGGCGCGCACGACGTATGTGCTAATTTTCGTTCCATCTTGCTCATGTCGACCTTAGGCAAAGCAATTCGAGCTTCAATGAGATCGATCATCAATGCTCCTTATGTCAGAGGAAGCCCCCAAGGACAATTGGGAGGCAAGCCGCGACAGAGTGTCCTTTTTGGGGCGCAGGTTGTGCGGCATTTTATCTCCTGGCATAAACAACAACAGAAGTCATGTGCCGTCCTTTTCTGCGATGTCATGTCTGCATTCTATACTGTACTTCGTGAACTGGCGGTAGGCTGTGCAAACCAGACATGGCCTGAGCAGGTTGATTTGATCATCAAGCATTTTGGACTTGGACCAGAGGTTCGGAATACGCTTGTCCAAACTCTCGAAGGACAGCATGAATTTCGCAGACTTGGAGCGACAGACATGCAGATGTCTTTGTTGCGAGAAAGTCTGTCTGACACTTGGTTCTCCTTTGACGGGAAGAGATGTGTGCGGACCACTAAAGGAAGTAGACCAGGAGACTCCTGGGCGGATTGCACTTTCAACATTTTGTTTCAGGCGGTTCTGCAGAAACTCATGCACAGACTCCAGAAGCTGGACTTAGTTGCCATTTTGACTGACGGATCCCAGCTAGATGCGAGTTGGCCAGGACCCGATCAAGGGGCAGAAATACCTTTCCAAGTCACTTGGGCAGACGACCTTGCCGTATTGCTGACCTTTCGCACACCGCAGGAGATTGTTGAGAAGTTGCCTTTTGCTGCTGCTGCATTATTCGATACCCTGGCCGAATATGGAATGAAAGCAGCAATAGGGCCAACCAAAACGGCAGCAATTGTTTTAGCCAGGGGTCCGGGTGCCGTGCAGACTAGACGCACCTTGTTTCGAACACAAGCTGCAGGGTGTTATGTCCTCCTTGAAGAGGAAACTATTCTTCTTCCGTTTGTCGACAGATACAAGCATCTAGGGGGGGTCATTTCGGCGACGGCTAATTTGCAACTTGAAATGCAAGCGAGGTGCCTCCGAAGCAGATCTGCATTTTGGAGGATTGGTACCAAAGTTTTGCGCAACAAGAAGCTGCCTTTCGAATCCCGTAAAGCAATTTTTGATGCCACGGTTGTTTCAGTGCATGCATGGGGATCCGGAGCCTGGCCCCTACTGAGTAGTAGAGAGTGGCTAGTATGGTCGACGGCTCTGTGGGACTTATATGCCAAAATGGTCCCCTGGCTGATCAAGGACAGGGGCCTTCACATCTCGCGAAGCGAGATTCTTACCGCTGGCAAATTTATGAGGCCTGAAGACGTCTTGCATTTGTCCAGGGTGCGTCATGTAGGATCACTACTGCTTGCGGCACCACCGCTCCTGCATGCCATGATTAAACGGGATCAAATAGCATTACACGGATACCAGGCGTCCATGCAATGGTTTTGGAGCGGTCTCGGCAGGGACCAGGGCATCCCGAAGCCATATGACTGGCATGCCTGGTCGGAATTTATTACGAACCAACCTACGACATGGAAATCTACGGTGAAGAGGGTCGGAACCCGGTACATTAGAGGGTTCCATCGACTGGCAGATGTTGAAATCTGGCATAGACGCATTAGACATGTCCTGAGAGATATGGGATGCATCGATCCAGACATAAGGGAGGTTACTACTATCCATGCTTGTTTAGTATGCAACAAGGGATTTGCCAGTATGAGGGCCTGGTTTTGCCATGCATCTCAGAAGCATGGGTATGTCTCAATGCAGGGGGAAGCAACGAAAGGCAGGATCTGCCCTTGTTGCAGCAAACAGTATAAGAGCTCCCTTAGCCTTAAGCATCATCTTGCTTACAGTGGGGCTTGCCGGTCGTATATGTGGCTGCATAAACAAGACCCACCCCAACCAGAGTCGTGTCAGCCGCACCCACAAATGCCTTGGACATACGTTGATATCAGCCAACCGAACATTGAGTGTCCCTTCGACCGAGATGTTGCTGAGCTGACTGCCAACCTCGATTATGGTCTGAAACACGACTTGAGTCCAGTTGGTGGCGAGGAATTTGTTCAGAAGATGACCCAAACCCTACAAGGGATTTGTACGGTAGTCATGCCTTTCCCGTCTATCCATGCGGCTTTCGCGAGCTGGGCTAGATCGTTAGCTGACTCTACGGATCTCGATCTTTTAAAGGTCCTGGAACAAGTTGCCTGTTGGCTGCTAGATCGGGGGCGTCAACTTGTCTCCACTCCCAGCGCAAATGAGACAATTCCTGACGAACAAGATAGAGCCAGTGTCCAGGTAAGACCATATAGTGGTGTCATTCCGAGCTTTCGGCCAAGAGTTGCGTTATTTTTGCATTTTTTCAGTGGACATAGAAGAATGCATGATTTGCAATGGTGGCTTGAAAAGGTATTCGAAGACATGAACACACACATTGAGGTGGCGTCAATAGATGTGGTCATTTCTGAATCCAAATGCGACCTTTCGCCGACAGAACAGCAAATGAAGCTTCTATCATGGATCCGTGCTGGAAGCATTGCTGGGTTACTTGTTGGTCCGCCCTGCGAAACATGGTCGGTGGCGAGAGAACACGCGCCTGAAATGGGGGGCCCTAGGCCAATCCGGTCGCGTACGTCGCCATGGGGCCTTTGGGACATCAGGGCCAACGAGAGTGCCCAAGTTGAAATGGGTTCCCTACTTCTGGGATTCGCGCTGGAGGCTATGTTGGAACAAGCCCGCAAGGGGGGTTTCGGTGTGCTTGAGCATCCCAGGTGCCCCCGGGACTTCATGCCCAACAAGGCACATGCCCCATCAATCTGGGACCTTGCTGTCATGAAATGGTTGATCAGCACAGGCTTGTTCGGACTCCTACATGTTGAACAAGGACATCATGGTGCTTCAAGCAGGAAACCCACCACCTTGCTTCTCTGTGGGACGTCTACTGAGTCTGCGTCTGAGCTGGAGCGTAGTCTGAGGTCCAATGTCACACCTTGTACAGCCAACATAGGCAAGTGTGGTACAGAGTGGAAGACAAGCCATCTAAAGGCTTATCCTTCAGCTTTTTGCAGACTTTTAGCTCTGTTGTTTAAGATGTGGTGGTGCGACAGAGCTACAGCTCCTCTTACTGAAGTCGATGCGGCCCGAGAATGGCTAGCTGTTTTGTACAGCCATCTCTCGACAGGTCAAAGTACCTTTGGACCCGACTATCACAGAGGAGCCCACCAGTAATTCAGAATTCAAGTGCGAGGCGCTGCACTCTTTACAGAGATCCATGCGCGAATCGGAAATCGGAAAAAATTCTGGGTTTTGAAGCCTCTCGGCATCGAGAGCAACAATCACCATATAATATATAGATCCTCCTTCAAATTTCCTTTACAAAATCAACCTGCCTGGGTAACAAAAAGAGCTTCGATATTGTAAACAAAAAAGTTCATTTCCAGGTACCCATTTTTGTGGGGGTGGGGTGGGTGATTTTGTAAGGGCAGCATTCTTTCTTGGGGCTGTTGATTTTGTAAAGACTCGATATGTTGGTATGGAGGTCCCAAGTGCCGCACTGTTGAGGGTGGGATCCTTGATTTTATGCAAGTTTGAGGGTGGGGTGGTTGTCCTTGTGTAGAACATGGACAGTTGATTCTGTAATCGATTGACCTGCTGTAAAGCATGGACAGTTGATTTTGTAGTGGGTTGAGCTGCTGTAGAACATGGTCTCATAAATTCTCAATAATTCGCATAATTTTTCATGATTCGCATAATTTGCTGAATGACCGACTGGCTGTGTTTCACAAGCGCCCAAGATTGCATGTTGCCCAGGCCAGTAAAAGCATATAAAAGCAATTTGGAAACATTTAAAAAGAACAAGAGTCATGATGTTCTGGGAAGCTCCAAAGAAAAACAAGACATCGATGTCTCGCACTGGTGCAAAAAACATTCTGCGAAGTTGACCAACTCTTCGAAATGGTTCTCTGCTGCATACCACCTGGCAGCAAGGCCCTCCTTTTGGTTCACCTGTTCACCTGGGGTCCCTGATTCCGTAATGCATCGAGCTTTGAGGGTAGTGATTTTATTGTAATCTAGGTTTTGTCTAAATATCTTGGGATCCCTGATTCTGTAATGAAATTGCACCGCAGCATTACAAAATCGTTAGTTTTTTCCAACCCAGGTTGAATGATTGAGATTTTGTATCTTGTTTGAGACCTCAGGGAGGTTGATGTTGTAATTGCGCTGGGCCATGTCGACAGAGTGCATATGATTTTGTAATGACTGTATCTTGAGACTGGGACAGTTGATTTTGTAATATCGGCTGGAGAGTTGTCCCTTGCCTGCGTCCTGGGGGGTTTGATTTGTAAAGCTTTTCAGATGGGCGAACCTGGGGTGGTTGATTCTGTAGCACATTTTCCTTAAAGAACCAACCACCCCTACATACTCCAGGAATTCGAAGAGTGATATATATAGTATCCTATAGTCGTATCACCCGGAAAGCGCAGGTTCGGCAGGTTCGTTTGTGCGGAAGATTGGTCGAAATCCATGTGCTGGTGTTTACTCATGATTAGGGCCCATTGATCAAGTCTTCAAACTTTGGATGGGCTGCTTCAGTGCTGAGCCGTCAGGATTCTGAGTTTTCAAGTCAATCGACACATCACCTCTAATCGTTCTTGAACAGCCTCACTGCTTCACTAGGGGTTCTCACATCACAAACAGGCCGCCACAGGCCTCCAAATTGGCTTTTAATATGCTTTAATTGTTTCAATCAAACCTATTTACGCACACCGGGGGCTTCCACTTCGCCGGAGTGTACATATCCACCTCCGGGATTCCGGACACCGTTTTGGCGTTTGGGCCTTTGTCTCGGCCCCGTTTGGCTCGGTCGTTTCACACGAGCGGAACCGCCACCGCGACGGCGACCGCAGCGGAGTTTCACCGGTGTCGCGGGAGGAACATTGGTGGTGGGACACCGATGAGCCCAACGACGGCGGCGCCGTCAACGACCCGGAGATCCGCCACTTCGTGGCGCGAGTGCTGACCGAGCAGGCGGCCGAGACGCCGCGCAGGCGGGAATGGTGGTACGTTCCGTGCAGCTGAAAAGAGAGGACTCGAAGTGACCATTTGATGTGAACTCATGGTCGGTATGGTATGTTTGGTTCATGGGGACGGGAGAGGGACAGATTTCCTAAGAAGTCAACAAAGAAAGAGGGACTTGGCAGATCATGGTGCCTATGTGCAACGGCCAAAATCCACATCCTCGTGTTTTCGTTTCATTTGGAGCTGATACGGCGGATCACCGGGGTTGACCCAGAGTGCCGGAGATGCCGGGTTCACCCTGCATCCTTCTCTGGTCATCGCAGGGTAGGCCACAGACCATAAGGTTGCAAGAAGCAAAATCAACAAAAGAGCCTATTATACTATAGTAGTCATGTCAGATCTGACAGGTGATACAGGTGACTCCCAAGGCCTATCTTAGTCGTTCCAAGTGATGAGAACCGTTTATCCAACCCTCCTGCACTCCCAGTTGGCGCCTGTTGGGCATGGCATCGAAGGGTGGCTTGTCCTTGTGGCCGCAGCGGGCGGATCGGCAAGCCGAGGTGGGAGGGGTGGATATGGGTCGATGGATAAGTTTAGCGTCCTTGCTCCGTTCGTAGCGATGCCAGGAGCCCCTGGTAGCTTCTTGTTCCTGTAGTAGGGCCAGGAGCCCCTAGTAGCGTCCTGGTTGGGTGAATCCTGTTGAAGCCATGCATTTTGCCTCGACCGATCATGTCACTGTTATAAAGGCTCCAAACGCACTCGGAGAAAAACCAGCTCAGCAGTCCTTCTCCCCGGCCGCTTAGCATGTCGGAATTTGGAGAGGTCTTTGTGGAGCTACCGGAAGGCTGGGCCAGTGGGACATCAACAGTTGAGTCCTGCGCCCAAACGCTCCATGTATGGAATAATATATTGAATATATATGCCTACATTCAACCCGCCAAACCATCCCAATGTGGGTATATATCATATATATATATATGCCATACATGGAGTGTCTGGGACTTGCAGAAGAGACGACTGTCTGACTCACTGGCTAGTCTTTGGAATCGTCAAGAAGCCAACGTTGAGCTCTTACTCATAGACCCCACTTGAAAATAGACAATCACATATATGTATATATATAACAATAATATAAATATTAATAAGAATTGTAATAATAATCTGAGTGACGTGAGACACCAGCAATCTCCCTATATACACACATTGAAGACTCAAAGTAAACCAAAGAGATCCAAAGAAGCAAACCACGCCACATGTCGATCCATTTCCAAACCCTCAAAAACAATGAACAGTGCTTCGCACCTCCGCCAGGTAGCGCAGCAGTGCTCCGCACCTCGAACGTGCGGCGCCTGCAGTGGCGTCCGTCTCCGCAGCGCCAGGCGAGGACCGGCAGGTACCAGGTGAAAAAACGGGGCAAGGCAACTCTCCAAAAGAGATGGTTTTTGTGTATTGTTTAAAGCATGTTGTTTCATAAATCCCACTTTCTGAGGACGGCATAGCTTGCAGTTATTCAGTTGATCAATGCTTGCAAGTTTGTGGTATGTGAGGAGCAAGACTAGTTGTGGAGAGGCATCCTAGAAGATACCGTTTGACAGCGACCGTGTGTGCAGAATGCAAGGGCCCAAAGAAATGTTTGCTGCACATTCCGTCCCATTCCCAAGGGTCATTAAAATGAATTGCCTCAACAACATTAAATTCACACGTCAGAAACTCACTCTTGAAAACGAAGTGGATTTGTAGTATCTTCAGACTAGAAACGCCCTCTTTACCTGCATAAAGAGGGATCACATGAGACATCACGACTATCTTTACCCGGCTCCCATATCGCAGTCTAGTCTATTGTCCTATACCTTACCTTGTATTTAATACATTTAGTAACTTAGTAGGTTTTCCACGCACGAGCTGCGTGCGTTTACCGCTGTACTGTGTACCCATGAACAGTCTCACCCGGGGATGGCTTGCACCTGTGTCCCGACGGCCGTGGAGGGGGTGAAGCAAGCCCTCGTGGACGGCGAGCTTTTGGTGGTGCCGGAGGATGAGGTCGGCAGTGGAGGGAACTGGCATGGGAGTTCACAGATCAAGGTGATCAAGAACACTCATCATCTACTTGAGTTGGAGAATGCGATTGGAGAAACATCGAGAAGCCCTCAACTCATCGAAATGCGAGTCAGAGATGAAGATTGAGATGTCTGTGCGGCTCAAACATGCTTGTCAGTACCTGGCTGAAGCAAATACAGGTCATGTCATGAACAGCTTGCAAGGATCACTGCCATCTTTGATTCCCAAGAGTATCGAGTGTTCGACCAGAATCACCGGAGAATTCCCAGCAGCTGTTAAAACCGAGCTCCGACCCGGTGGAAACCAAGTGAAACACCTCTCGTCCGACCAGGTCGCGTCGTGGTGCCTCCAAGATGACCGATGGCAGCTTTGCGGAAAGCTTCCACTTACGGAGCGCCATGCCCGTCAGGAGTCCCTGCCGCTTTTTTGGGGTGACACTCTGGTGACACTGGGCATTGTTTGGTGAGAGCACTTGTTTGGGGATGCGCATGGGCTTCTATGCGGATAATTTTGGATCACTGTGGTTTGGAGAACGACTAAGAGAATATATATATATATATTAGCAATTCTTGCAAGAAAGAACATGAGAGTTACTCTTTGACTCGCTAGCATGCCAGAACGTATAGCTTTGATTCTTTTGATTGAAATTCTGGCATATTGAGATCCCAGAGCAGAGTTCACAATACTCCAACTACCTCTAAAATTCCCAAGTGATGAACCTGATGTCCATCCATGCTGTTCCCTCTTCGCCCATCCGCGGAGGCCGGGCCCCTCCGACGGATCATCTCTCAGCGCTTGTGTGGGCTGGCGGATGAGGACGAGACTCACCGCGCCGCGTTTCGTTCGGCGCCGAGGGTCGGGTCGGTCGGTTGGTCACCACCGTCCCAAAGGAGGAGGGATTCGGCTCGGCTTGGCTCGGCTCGGTGGATCTCGGAGAAACGGAAGTTCTTGTCTTAGACGCGGTGCTGTAGTGCTGTTTGTTAAATCCTGGCATCTGAATATGTGGATATGGAAGATCTCGAAGACTATGACCAGTTCCATTTGTTTGGGGAGCAACAGACACATGCTTCCAACTGAGGATGCCAAACCAAGCAATCACTGTGAAAGGTAAACATCCTGTGCATGCCTCTTACGAAGAAGGCGATTCGGTACCGGCTTTATTCACATAGGTTTATTTGTTACTCAATGAAGTTGTATTGTATACACAAACAACGACTTATGAAGTTCTATTGTAATACAACCATTGTATGTTACAATACTTATATACATAACCAATGAATCGTTGTATTAAAAACATATGATTGAATTGCGATCTTCCGCCTCCGCCTCCGCCTCTGGACAGCCAGGACCGAACCCAGACCAGAAAAAACGAAACGCTGTCATGAGGAAAGAAAACCGCCTTCATGAGGAGGGCCAAGAGGCTTTGCGCTTCTTTGGAAATATGCTCCTGATGACTGGCCACGGCGGGATTCGTCAGCTCTCCATGCAGGAGGCAGGGGTAATCAGTGGTTCAGGTCACTGACCTATCACTAGTCACTAGTCGTTCGATTCAAGACTAGATGTCTACCAACTATATATTTCAGTGTGTGTTTTTCCCGCGGTCGCTGGTCCATCCACTGATGGGAAGGCCGTGGACGACGGTGTGTTGGTGCCTCCAGAGGAATGTCGCTTAGGCAGCAGTCCAGTCGGTCCTAAGTTGCGGTTTTGCTTGGTGATGATACTTCATCGTCAAAAAAGACACCTAGCCAATCATTCTAGCAAACCTCCGAAGAATGGATGCAGTTACCCTGCGGAGCAGTTTTCTGTAGGCGGATTTGGAACCCACCGCGCAGCACTGCGCAGCCTGCCTCCTGTTAGTTTGGGGAACAAGTTCCTGGCCTAGAATTTCACACTCACCGTGCTGCTTGCAGCATAACTACAAAAGCGACACAGCAAAAACTTGTGTGTGAACGTATGAACTGGATCCTTTGGGATTTGGCACAACTAGAGTCTTTAGAAGGGAAACCTGATTTCAAGTTGTCTCAGAAGCTGCAAACAAGTTTTCCATATTTCTCACGCGTGTATTTTCATACCCCAAAAGCTGATAAAAATAACGTCCCACCTTTAAACAAAGAACAACTCGTCCTAACCACAAAGATGACTGTACCTTGGGTCAAGTTTGTGACCCAACTTGACGTATGGACATGTATGGACCCTCAGATTTGAAAATACCTTTTGGATATTGGTAGCATATGGTAGCATTATTTCATATGAACGTTATGAACCCTGAGCTCAAACCTTGCCAAAGAACTTGACATCCCACGATATGTACCCTTGCTTCAATGGATTTGCCCTGCAAGGTTGTCGGTGACGTGAATTTACAAGGTGCATAACAAAGAGTAGATTGACGTAGCATAACCAACGAACCATCCAACGAACCCCTGCCTACATGCCCTTGCAGAGACCTGTGACTTGAACACTCATCCAGTCTCCCTGGAGCTTAGGTGAAGCTTTGTTGGTCCTGGGCACTCCAATGTCAAACCCCGTGCGGGTCTAAGAAGCTGGACGGTTTGTCGGTGTACTCCGGTGCTAAGACTTGGTGATTTGGTGTGTTGGCTAAGACTTCGAAGCAACCTCTGGGCATCTTGAAAGGAGTCCCAAGACCCAACAAACCTCCATGGTCTAATAGAATTCAGATGAATTCAGAATGTTCATGCAAAAGGTGAACAAGGGAGGCAAAAGAAACAGGTGTTCAGACTGTGTTTGTTTAAAGAACACCTTTTAAGTTCCTGAAAAAGGGTCTCCAGATCCAGGAAGGCTTGCGCCCATGTCATGCCTGAAGGGGTCTGGCGCTATGTTTCGAAGAATATCTATTTAATTTACTCAAGGCTTGATTCCTCATTCATTTGAGTTTATGACACTTGGCGGGTAGTGGATGGAAGCTGTTTTGCTTTGCTCCAAAAACATCTCTTTACACTCCGGTGACCTTCGAAACGGCAGTTCCGGTGTGTTTTGATATACTGTAACTGCAGTAATTAGGTGATTTCTGCGAAGTCCATCCAGAAACATGATCTGAATCTGGGTTATATGATGTTACGTCACGTGTTGGCTGTTTAATTAGAAGGTAGAGTTGTCCTTTCCTTTCCGGCTGCCGCTTCGAGGCAGCCGCCGCCCTTCTGAAGGGTCAGCACGGCACGCCGGGGCCGACGCGACGCCGGGGTGGTGAGACCCCGGTCGGTGACGCGGCGTCGGACGCCCTACATTGGGCTGAGACACCGATTGATCCACCATTCCGGCATCTTCAGAAACTCGATGGAATTCAAGAAGTGTCGTTCCTTTGGGGGTCGTAGGCCTGTAGGCAGTAGCAAGCGGCAAGAAGGCAAGAAGGCAGTAGGAAGGATATGACAATGACAAGACCAATTGAGATCCAATTGAGGATCATTTTCACCTGAATGCATGGACTTCCCCTCAACAACTTTTGGCTAGCTAGGTTGGCATCCTTATTAGTCCATGCTGTTGACTGTCCATGATTTTCCGGGTCGACCAGGGTCCCAGAGCTTTGACCCCTTAGCCATGCTTTTTAGTACCTGCCAACGAGTTTGTTGAACAAATCGAATCAGCAACTGAACATCCAAAACAATCTCAGCACCAAACTTCGGCCTCCGGCCGCTCTAAGCCACGGTTGGTGGCCCTTGAGCCGAGTGACCAGTTGCTGCTGGCTCGAGCACGATAAATGAAACAGCTTCAGGAGAGCAACCCAAAGCTTCTGCCAGCTCTTCTTGTTCAGCTCCATCTTCCGCCGACCACCCCAAAAGCAATTTTTTCATTGTGTGCATCATTGCAAGTCTTGCCTTTCCCGAAAGCCCTTCGTTCCGGAACAGCCAGTGTTCCACTGTTCCTTTGGTTTCTGCACTCTTTGCTAGCGTGGACGGTGGACCAAGCCAAGAAGACGTTCAACTTCCGTCACCTTACAGAATAACTTTTGATTCCATTCCTTCCTGGCGCTTTCATCGCTGACTCTTTCTGGGCGATGACAGCGCCACTTGCTTGCGCTGGAGGTGTTGGGCCTTTCAATGCTTGAACCGCAACAACAGATCTTCTTTAAGTTTTCCTAGTAATGTGTCATGTGTTAAAGTGTGAAACCGGAGGGCTGGGGAGGTGAAGGGGCACCAGGAGTTTGTAGTCTGAGTAGTTGGAGCTGAGGAAACCGGAATGGGAATTGACCAAATAACAGGTGAAACAAGACACAGATACACCAAACACATGAAGAAAGACAAAAGGCAACCGACTGGCGTCCTCCCATGTGGGTCGTCCCAAACTCCTTCGTGAATTGGTTTTCTCTCCAATTCCTTCGATGCGGGGGCAACCGACTTGGGGCGTTCGGAGTTGGAGGTAGCAAGGGTGCTCCTAGTAGTAATGCCCCTGTTACTAGGAGCTTCTTGTTGCAAGTAGTATGGCCAGGAGCTACTACGTAGTAGCTTCTTGTTACTAGTAGTATGGCCAGGACCGCCCCCAGTAGCTTCTTGCTACTAGTAGCGATACCTTGCAACCTTTGGGAAGTTCCTCATGCTTTGGCTGGACAAGATCTTTGGCCAACCAGGGTACCGATTGCTATTTACACGTTCCACGGTGGTACGTGTGTCGAATAGGAACAACCTTCCAACCATTGTCGTAGACTTGGGACACCTCCCAAAAGCAACCATTCGTTTGTCATAGAATAGTCAATCTCATGTAATGTATAGACTCTTGATCGACTCTTGATCAATAAAGCCCCCTATATATTTGAAGAGGTTCTAATTACATGGTTTTACAATGCAAATGGGTGGGTTTTGTATGGTTTTAAATCAAGTGAAGTGTCTTCATCAGTTGAGACGTCTCCCGGTCTCCCAAGATTTGTATTCTTTTGGACCCACCCAAAAACACCCGCCATGTCGCTGGGTGGCCGGACCTGCCTGGTTCAGGTCCAACGGGAAGTCAAGGGCACATACCTTCCTGGTGGTCTCCAGCTTGACGACGGCCGGGACCCACGGGACCCACGGGTCATGGGCGGTCGATGGAATCGGTGGAACATGGTGGAACGAAACCGACCCCGGCGCCACGACGCCACGACCCGCGGTCGAACACGAGGCGAAGGTGTGTAAAACAGGGGGTGAGCAAGGCAGGAAGTCGAAACATGGCGTTTCCTTTACCAGAAAGGTATCCTGGTGCCCTGACCCACAATTATGAGAAAAAAGGGCGTTTCTGTAGGTCCATTTCCATATTTAGGCAAGACTCAGACACCTTTCTTGTTAGAACGTTGACTCTGCGCAGGTCTTCCTCTTCTCGGGCACTGTCTTCGGATGGGGTGCGCTCAGCTCGATGCTACAGAGGGACGCTCGACGGAATGGGTCCGGGACGCCAGAACTGTGGCATCCGACATCGGTCCGACAGACATACGCAGGATCGAGCCCTCGTTTGCAGGCAAACCCATGAAATTAGAGCTCTAAAACGTGATATCTGATCAGAGTTAAGCTGGCGACTGATGCAGTTGCCAGCGGCTTGGTAGAACAACAGAGCAGCGGATCGGATGAGTTGTAATGTCTGGCAAGTAAGCGTTGTATGAATTATGAATGGACAAAATTTACATCAAAAAAGTCCCTGTGGCTATCATGAACATTTAGGGAGTGCACCATTTTAGTATCTATCACAGATCATTGTGGTTAGCAAGCAGAAGAACTTGGCCGCAGTGGCATGCATGTGGTTAACTATAGGTTAACATTGACCAAATGGGCGGGAGGTGTACCAATTCCTGTTGAACCATCCGAGTCGTCTTCAGGAGGGCTACTATGATTGGCTTTGTGATGCGCCCGATCCGAACCACCCCTGTGAGCAGCAGCTGCAAGCGCTGAACAACGCCTTCACCCTAGCAACCACCTTTGCTCCTTGGACTCCTTGGACTCGGACGACTCGGTGCTCAAGACCAGTCGGTGTAGAAACCGACACCTTGGGAAGGCCTGTAGGTGGTTATAATGTACTTATTAGTCGTTCAGGTCGAGTAAAACGGGTATAACATGAGTCCCTCAACACATGTCACACAACGGCCCCCCGGTTCTGTGTTGTTCTTGTTTAATCTTCGATGAATCTCGTGGAACTGTTGTAAGTTGGTGAGAGGTTCCACAACTACTCAGGACACACAGGCTGAGGAAGAACCAGCCAATCTGGATTGATGTTCTATTTTTACGTCTTTTTTTTGTACAGTCTGTGCACCTGTTGACACCTATGATGATTCTTTGACAAAGCATTGCCTTGCTGTATTCTGCTGGCGAACACGAAGAGGAGGAACAAAGGCTTCTTCCAAAGAAGATGAGCATGTTGAAGATCGTTGAAGATACTGACACTCCAGTCTTTCGACCATGTCTTGGGATCCACTTTGAATTTTAGCGAAGCTGTTCGTTCTCAGCTCCAACGTAGTAGCGTCCGACTGCTCCCTTCGTAGCGATGCCCTTTGTTACACTTGTAGCTTCTTGTTACGTTCGTAGCGATGCCCTGGTCACTAGTAGCTCATGGCATTTCCAGACACCAAAAATCTCGACCTCAACCCAGTGGGATTCTTGGTGACTTGACAGCCTGACAGGATCTGACCGGATCTGACAGGTGTTTTCCGAAAAAAGAAAGATTTCATGGATTCTTTATTGGGGGCGTCATGACCTCGTTCCGTACAAGGCAGCATCAATGACTTCCAGGACACTTGTTGATTTCCTCCAGTGTTCAGGGCCGCCGTAGCCCAAACGGATCGAGCCGCGCGGTCGCCAAGCTACTATTCATCAGATGTTCCTCTCCAACCTCCTTCCTGTCTTTCCAACCTCCCCTCCAAAAAAAGAACACACAAACCACCACCCCTGCATCCACAGCTGCCTACACATATCCCTGCTTTCTCAGCATACCAAACTCATCCCAAAATCCACATACACTCACCGGCATCTCACCGCATCCCCTGCTACATCGGACACATAGGACTCCAACTGACTGCTCATCAGGTTTCCTTGACCGCCTTTGCGAACGGCTGGTTGGTGGACACCTTTGGACCCATGAAGGTCACCATCCTCGCAGGTGCGAACGGATGCGGAGGGAAGACCAGTACGTTCGGTACGTTCGGTACGTTCGGTACCGGTGACCGGTGGTCGGGCGACGGAAGGTTTTGTGAACAAAGATTGGGGGAAAGAAGTCGGTTTAATACATTGTGAGTTGGGAAGGGATCCATTGAAATATGTATTGTGTTTGTCAATGTTTGTTTCACTTGTTATTTTCGACATAAAAAGAAACGTGCGCTTCGTTTGAGAATCTCGAGATTTGGACATCATCCAGCATCAGTTCAGAGTTCAGATGGCGAGATCCAACCTTTCAGATGGCGGCCGTGTGTTTTTTCACTGAAGGGGTTCAGAGTGAGAGCGGAAGCGGCGATCCGATCAAGTGCCAAAACCTTAAAATTGAACGTCTACAACATCTCGGTATATCGTGGGCCCAAAATATCTAATTTCGGTATGGCGGTTTCATTCCATCCAGACGTATGCAGACTATCGAAAGATGAACGACTCTTGCAGTTTATAGCTAGTATATGCTGGTATATTGTTGCTTTATATATAATATATAACAGCAAGACAATCAAGAGGCGCTTAGGCACTGTATGTGTACGTCTTTATCGGAGTAATTGACATCCCTCCAACCTGGGAGAACTAGCGTCTCCCAGAAAAGATCAATTGTATTTATTGTAATTATTGTACTCACACAGCCTCCCAACACACTGGCAAGCAAAGTGATACTGTAGATCAGGGAATCTTCCCTAAACCTCTTGTTTTCCACGAACACGTTTTAAATCATTGCACTTCTCCATACCCCTACCATCCCCTACCCCTCCAAACTCACACCAAACCAACTGGAGCTCCACCCGGTCTCAGGTCCTCCGCTGTCCGCAACGCGTTGCGCGTTGCGCCGTGGTCGACCGCCGCGCGCTCCGTGGTCGACGCTCGAGGCGCCATGAGTTGCGTGGGACTCATGGGCATCGCGCTCACGCGCGCGATCCCCGGGACCAAGTCCGAGGCCAAGGGTGTGGAGGGGTGGCTTGTGGAGGGGGGTGTGGAGGGGTGGACGCTAGATTTTGTCAGAAAGAGACCTTGTAAAAGAGTTAATTAGCAGTGTTGTGTTTGTTTTGGCTTTGGGATGCTTTGGGTATCCTGAGTTGGTCCAGTACTCCTGTGACGTTTCAATTTGCTTGTTTGGGGCAATAGAATGTAACCTTGTAGCCGAGCCAAGCATCTGGTGGCACCCAGATGAACGATGACTCCCGACCTCCTTGGAAGTAACTTGGAAGGCAACATAATGTGGGTTTTAAACCTTTGCGGCTAACTTTTTGGGTCATTCTCACCGTTTTCGTTTCCGCAGCCATGGTTCTTCTGACTCTTTGTTGAGTCAGTGTCCGGTGAGGCCGAGCAGGGCTTCGATGTGTTTTTGTGGTCCCTCTTGCTGGTGGCCGTAGGCGGCAGCATGACCATGTTCCTGGGCGGCAGCTGAGTAGCGAGAGCAGTTCAGTTGGACAGTTCAGTGTGAGTTAGTTTGCAGGTGTATCCTCCTAGGTACACTGTAGGCTTGTATCGTCAAACGACCCACCAACCCACCCACTTGGTCAGAAGCTCCTCTCAACGACCTCACACATCTTTTTGGAAAGGTTTCAGGTTCGCCCCTTACGAACCATTGGAATAGCTGGTCGATAGCTCTATAGTCCAGTGGAGAGGGCAATGTCTGGAGCTAGAAGCCGCCTCAGCAGTGGTTTCCTCCCACCGACACATCCATGTGTCACTTTCGAGTCCGGATGACTGGCTTCGACGAGGACATGTTCCTTGTTTCAGGTGTTAACAAGTTCCTAACTTGTCAAGTACAATGTACCTTACTTGCTGAGCCCGTTTTGCTGCAAATTTGCACCCCCAACATGGTGGTCCTATATAGTGACTCGCACTCCAGCGCCATCATGCCCACCGGATACCAAGGTTCATCGGATACCAAGCGCCCTTTGTCATCCCATCTCACTTCACTTTGCTGATCGAGGTCAATAGTTGCCTGGATTCGCAGGGCTCAAGCGTGCGGCGTGCTCAAGCTCTCAGCATATGGATTCTTCAGTTTGTCAATCTTTCTATTAGCGCTATAACTGCTAACTGGTGGATCCATTTGGGTTGGTGGTGCTTCAGTGACCGAGTTCTGGTGGATGCAAGCGCTCAGGAGTTTTGTCACAAGTTGTTTTGGGCCTCCACTGCGCGGTGTGCCGTGTCGAAGGATGTCAGAAGGTCCAATGTTTGGCACCTGTGCTGTGCCTTCATCGAGCTTCACCATCACCATTAGGATCAATAGACTTTGCATGGACCCTTGGAAGCGACGAAAACTGGAGCTGTTGAGGTATTTGGGGATATTTGGGGATCAAGACAACTGAACATTCCATTCTAATCCATTCTATACCAACAATCTCCCGTTTCCGTTCGGTTTTTCCGGTTCTTCGATTGGACACGAAGCCTCACGAGCACCGTGAGGCTGTCTCTTTGATGCCGGGACCATCATTTTCCCAATCCTGAAGTTGCTCTACGATGCGGGCGTGCCCTTCGCAGCCTTCTTTTGGACCTACACGGTGCTGGGATTCATTAGAGACTCGGCTTGGATTTAACAGGGCGTTGAATGATAAGGCCTAAGGCGTTTCTATTTTTGGCATGGTGCTAGCTGGAAGCGGTTATTTTGCACGTGCTCTTCAGCAGCCAGTTTCATATTATCCCATGATGGGTGAAACTGACACTCTTGATACTCAAGGTTTTCTTCTCACCTGGATCCATCAGGGTTCCTTCTTTAAGAACAATGGAACCATGTCGCTGTGGGTCACCTTCACTTTACACCCGCTGATTTCACTCACTCACATTGAGCCGGGTCGAATGGCACCTTCAGTGCGAGCTGTGTTTTCCTCTACAAACCAGGGCTATTCAGCGGGGTCAAGTGGAGGGCGACCTGGCGACCTCCTGGCGACTGGCACCCAACCCGACTCATGTTCGGTCGGCGCCGAGTCGAACGGTATCGACCGAGTCATCGACCGGTCGACGATCCGTATCCGCAGGGGTCGACGATCCGTATCCGCATCCAAGCTCACACGATCCGTATCCGGAAGTTCAATGAGATCTCGATGTTTTTCTTTTGTCACCGCTGCTCTCCATGGAGTAGCCCAACTACTCCACGAGAACTCAGGCTACTCCCTCTACGCAGTGTCCTGGGCGATGAACATGAAGGACGTCGGAAAACGACTCAAAAGGATTAGTGATCCGTATCGAAGCCCCTCCCAACCGACCTAACATCCTAACACGCCTCCTCCACCGAACTCCACGTCCTCCCGACACCGCAGGAGCTCAACGACATCCGCGCCGCTGCGAGTGGCGACACCGACCTCGCCGGGTCCAGCGCGGCCGCGCCCGAGCGGCAGCGGCCGCTGGAGCAGCGAGGCGGGGGTGGGGGGTCTGGTGCAGAGATGGAATGATGTGTACACAACATATCAATACATATGCAGCTCATATGCAGTGCATCAGTGCAGGTTTGCAGGTTGAACATTGTCAGTTTCGGGCAGCAGTTGATGCTGATCCGACAGAGCATCTTTGGAAGGCTACTAGTAGGGTCTAGAGCATCCAGGATTCCTGGACCAGGAAGTCTTGGTCAATAGGAAATTCAATAAGAAGAGCGCCGGTCTATTGAATTGAATGTACCACCAGAACATGAAGATCATATAGTTACTTGACGATAGTTACAACACTTGGTTCGATGTATGAAAAGAACATGACCCTTTCTGACCCACTAGCGAAAGTAGATTGTCACATATCAGTGACAATGCATTGAATTCCAATATCACTTAACCATCTAAATCTAACCATGGTTTGGGACACCCACTCGGAGCCCCAGGCATGCTCTCGCAGATGGCCAGCTGGGAGTTTGCGGCCATCTTCATCTACAGCATCATCCAGGTGAAACCATCATCCTACCGATCTCACAAGAACGATGCGGGATCTTGGTTGGTGGTTCGTTCCTAGTTCCTAGGCCTATGATCTTCGGCTGCTCAGAGGATCATGTGGCCGGTCCAAAAAGGGCAAGGGCCGGGCGCAATCCCCACTGCTCATCCACTACCCCACTACTCCACCTCATCACTGCATTTGCCATGCACGTTGCTTGCAGGTGATTTCTTTGCTTTAGTCACGAGCGGCTGAGCCGCTCCATCGGGTGATCACCCCAGTCCCATGGGTCGGGAAAAGCGAGGTTCTTTTGTTTGCGAAAGAGGGTGATGTCCCGGTGGCGTGGTATGACTCTAAAGAAAGGTCTAGCGGTCTAGCAAAAAAAAGAAGGTCTGAAAGAAACAAACAATATGACATGTCTTTAAGAAGAAAGGTCCAAACAAGAAAGGTCTCACAAAAGGGAATACGGTTCCGATGGTGATGTCCCGGATCCACTCGCAGGTGCCACGAGCCAATATGTACATGGGCTCCGTGGAGTTGGTGAACCGGAAGATGGCGGAGGCGGAAGGCATTGGCAAGGACACCGCTTCTTGGAGCGTTGAACCGAGGAGCGATGATGTGGACGACCACGTGGTAGTACGTGGTAGACGGGGTCGTGATATTTCCCGTTTTGGTGACAGGGGAATGGTGCAATTTTTGATTGGTGATTCTGGTGGTTGGTGATATGGGTCATGCAATGAACATATTCAGGATTAATGATTCAATCAGCTGGGTGTGCATCGGTCAAGCAAAGCCCTTGGGCCAACCAGGCTCAATGAATATTCGGGGTAGATGGTTTTTGGCAATGCAAACGCCTGGCAGAAGGTTCATGGAATACCCAGATATCATGTTCAGCCCATTTTGCATCCCCCCCAACACACACCCTAAACAGCAACGTTGTTTGGGTCAAAGTGTACGAGGAAGCACGTTTGGTGCCTGCAGCTGTTCAATATACGTGTTTTGCCGTGGAGGGTGGGATTTTGGTTGTCAAGGTCCCCGCCCCAATACAATTGAAGGACTTTATGAATTTGGCCCCAACATGATACAGGGCCTACACAGATTACCGGAAAGCCTACAGCATCCTACAGCCCATGTTACTGGTAACTCCGCAGCGTCCTATACGTTTGGTCTCTCGACCCTTTTTGTCCATTGTGGGTCACATCCTCTAAGAAACCCTTACCAGCTAAGGTGGCCGGCGTGTCCACAATCACAGGCATGGCAAAGTGGTCGGTGAAGCGACGACAGAATAATATCAGGATAGTGGCTGTTAGTGTCCACCAGACTCAGAGTAGGTGATATCATGTGATATCCAATCTTTAGGAGCAAGGTTGCTGTAACCATTCTTAAAAGATTCAGGAAGCCATGAACAGTGGGAGTAGTTTCCGGTGTTTTGCATTTCTTTGTGGGGTAGTTATCGTGGACCGGCTGGCTCCGCTGGGTTTTGAGATGGGGTGAGTGCAATAGATGACCACATGGTCCAGGACCAACTGCAGGATGAACTTGGGATCAGTTTCCACCACATAGACATGGCGTATTCCTTTCCTACATTATATTGAGTCATGTTGAATTTATTTGCATAGCCGCCTCCAAATTCAGAGATACGACCCTGACTGTTTCTATGAATTCAACAATGGACCCTGTAGAAGCTCTACACTCCTCGCAGAAGAGCGTTGTTTTCGTCGTGGCTCGTTCCACCGAAACCGTCGTGGCTCGGAGGCTTCATCATCCCCTTCGGCTTTTTGGCGGTGCCCCTCATCGAGCTCTGCGTGCACCGCTTGGGCACCATTCCCACGGTGCAGGTCACCACGTTGCTGGGGGTGGTCTATAACCTCATGCAGCTGATCCCCAAGTGCCTAGCCGGATGAAAAGCCCAAGACCGAAAGATTCTGAAGGGAAGGGAAGGGAAGGGAAGGGAAGGGTGGGAAGGGGGAGTCTGTGTTTGGTTTCTTTTCAGAGAAATCACACAAGTTGCAGTGGGTCATCAGGAACTTCTTCCACATCATGCCTGGCAAGACGCGTATGTTTTTATCGCGCAGGCAGCCCCGCAACCGCACGGGAGTGAGAATAAAGGTCGCCAGCCCCGTCGTCGAGGCTCTACCTGCAGCTGGCGACCGTTTGTGTCTTCGCTGCCTGGAGAGCCTTCCTCTACAGTTCCTCGTCAGCGAAGACAAAACCGGCAGCGTGGGAACTCGCAGTTTGTAAGAGTTTTTTTCGGATACTTTTTGTAATGGTGCGTTTTCTCTGGATGGTTGAATCTCGGAATCTCACCACCATCAGTGAGCACCTCTCATGGCAACTACTGTTATACTGTTATACCATTGTTTTCGGTCTCGGTCGCCGAACATCTAGGCACCATCAGTGCCTTCAACGGCGAGACCTTTGGCGTCAAGACCATGGGCCGCATCATGGGACTCTGTTTCGTCTCTTGAGCCGCACAGGGAGAAGGGCGGCGCGGATGGGAGCCGTCTGAAGCCGTTTGAATCGCAGAAAGTGTGCGAAGATGTGCGAAACCAGGGCGATTCGGTTCCGGAACATGGTGTACAGCACTATTTGCACCTGCGATTACAGTTTTGCAATGTTTTGTTGCACAGTTTCCAAGCTTGAGTGATTCCAGTGCTTCATCAGGGGCTGTAGGGGAGATGACTCAGACCGCCGTCACATAGACGGTCCATGACAGTCCCAAGTCCTCATCTCGAAGGAGTGGGTCCAAGGTTTAAAAAGCAATCCCAATTCCTGTGCACCCACTTCTCCCACTACCCACTTCCATTCCTGTAGACAAACCAATTCACCATAATCCAACCTTTTGTTTTGGGAATCTAAACCCACATTGTGCGTACTCTAAGAAGCAAGACCGCCCGAAGAGCAGGTCTTTAGTGGCCTGACGAACATGATCACTGGGCCTTTAGTCAACGCCGCGGTGGACAGCCAAAACTTCACTGCGTTGCTCGTGGAGGCCGTGCGTGAAGTTTTTGGGCTTTTGGAGGCCGTGCGTCGTCGATGAACTGGTCAGGAACGTGGTGTGTCACATGGGATCCATGAGGTTCTCCTAGATTGGTAGGTTGGAGTAGCGCTCGCCTAGGTTACATAATACCCAATATCCTGATTTGCTGTGGGTTTTCCTCAGATATTCCGTCTCAGCCGCACATGGAGTATTTGGGTGTTGGAATCGATCAGCAGACTTGTGACTAGTTGACTGGATCTACGTCCCAATCCTGTGACGGTTCCTGTGTCCTCGACGTTGTTGGCTTCTTTCGTGGCGGAACGTGTTCTTATGTATGTTTCTTTGTGTTTCTTTGTTGTTTTCAGGGTGTGTGGTTTTTGATCAGAGGGATCCATGTCATGAAAGGAGTTCGACTGCCCTTCGCGTTCTCAGGCCTTGTGCGTCTGCATTCCGCTGCCCATCATCTTCCAACTCTTGCAGTGGAAGCGCTCCCGAGAGTCGCATCCGGCCACTCAGATCGATGAATCGATGCATTCATGCGTCTCACTAAAACCAGTGACGCGGGTGATGAATGGTAGCAGCTGCTTCCAACGGGTGCCCAATGGACAACCCTACACTTACAGGTCTCCATTGAACACCCATTGGAAGTGCTAGGCCGCTAGGTATATATGGATGGTTCTCTTCCAAAGCGGTGATGATCCTACCTTTTGACATGTTTCTTGCATCCAAACCAGGATCTTCAAACCATCATACATCCAACCTGAGTCCGCTTAGGTTGACCTGGTTTGGGGCTTTCTCCCAAAAGAAATGTCTTCAGATAAACACAAACTCCGATAGTTTCATGGTGAGAGTTTCATGTCTTCCAGAACGTCACCAAGGGGAGTGGGTAGTCCGCCGAAGTGGATCGCTGAGTGACCAAGGTGATGTTGTCATCCACGGTGAAGGCTGCAACTCCTTGGCCTCACTGATCACAATTCCGGGAACAACTCTGGCAGTCCCAGATGTATATCTTATTATATTGTATATATGCTAGCCCCCCCAAAAAAAACTTGTTTCTGAGTGCTGGTGTGCAGTTGGTAAGCATATTTGTTCATTTAACTATGTACTACAAAAATGTCCAAATCCATAAGGTTATGTGTTTACTAAACAGTTCTTGGATGGAGTAATCTAATTCATTGCAACCCCCATGCAAAACCATATGTCTTGTTTTTAGGGTGTGAATTGTACTGCTCTTATTGAATGCAGTTGAGCAAGTACATCATAACCAGAAGGCAAAGAATTGCAAACCCTAAATAATTAAATACTCCAATCTATTCAACTCTACTCTACTCTGTAAATTCAAATTCAAATTTGAGTCTATTTCAATTATTTGTAAATTCCATTTTGATTCAACTGTCTATCACTATAGATTCTAATTTACTTGGGATTCAATGCAAACCTAATTTTAATTCTATGTCAAGCTAATTCTAACTTCATTGCTATACAAGGCAGATTCAATTCTAATAGTGTATTTTTCAATTTAGTTTTAATTTGAGTGAAATTCTCATGTACTTCTAGAGAAGTGGTGTTACTTTGAACATGAGCGATTTTATGTAGTTTTTCCAATATAGAAGCATTCGCTTTCTTAACTGAATTAAATTCACCACCAGCAACACCCACTCTCTAGAATGACACCAAAACTGAATTAGAATTCCATGTGCATTGAACTAGAATCAAAAAAGGATGAAATTAGACATATAGAAACCAAACCTAATTTGCAATGACAATAGTGTAAAATTAGATGCGTAAAACAATTGGATTTGAACCGTAAAAAGGCATTACCATTAGAAATTAGTTACACCGGTCAGAAAGTTGTTGGCGCAACTCAAAAAAAGAAATAGCGGGAACAGCCGCGCCATGTAGCTCCTTTTTCTCGCTATTTGGCCGTCATAGATGGCGCAACTGGTCTTTGGATTGCAGAAATTTAAAATTCTGCGGGGTGTCTGTGTTGATACTAGTTTTCCCTATTTCCCAGAAAACGTTTGGGGCCTATAGATGGCCCAATGGCCAAGTTCTGTACATTTGGTGGCCCGGTGCCAATAGTGATTTCCTCATATTTCTTCTTGATTTCCTCTTGCCTCTTGAACTTATTCATTTCCTTTTGATGTCCTTTTGCGGTGGGGCAATAGATGGAGCGGTCCCAATCTCCGCTATTTTCTGCAAAATAGCGCACAAAATCATGCAGAATCTTCCTGTTTTTTTAGCCACGGGGCGCATAGATGGCGCAACACACCTGAATGCCCCTGATACCTAAACCTGGCGCAATAAAAAAAGTCACCTCATCAATTTTCCCAGTCCAGACACCTTTTTGCCCCAATGCAAGGGCCGTTGGCTGGTCTTGTGGTCTTTGTTTTTGGAATTCTTTTTGGACATCCAGTGGCTGACACGCTCCTGACACGAGGCGAGAACGCCCCTGACACGCTCACGGGCGCCTTCCTCGCTCACGGCTGGAACTCCTCAGCACAAGGACATCTTGGATCCTATGGGTGGGAAACTTGGAACCAAGGACAGAAGTGAAGAGTCAGGCTTGGGAGAATCCTGTTAATCCATATCGTTTAGAGTATAAGTCTCCTCATCCATCATCCACTGTCGCTGCACCTGAATGAATGCCAATGAACGCACACCGCCATACCCAGTGCGATCACTGGAAGCATCATGGCTCTCCAAAATAAGTACCGAGCTAGCTCTTCCACTGAAAAACACAAGAGGAACATAAACATGAAACGGTTCTAAGGTGCGGGGCCATAATAGCATAGTGTACTTTTTTGTGGTAGCCTTGTCCCAAGAAGGAGAGGTAGTTGACTCTCGTTCCTTACGACTGAAAGATGTGATAGTATCTTCTCTAAGAAGGCCGATGATGATTTTCAGGGTTTCATGTGTAGGAACCCTGACACTACTTAAACTGGTTACCCTCCGACTCACTAACATGGAAGTGGCAAATGGCCTTTGGGAAGACTATGTTCCTCTAGAAACAGGGTTGGTTTTTCACTTCCATGTGCTTTTTTTCATCTCCAAAACACCTGGCATCCCTGGTGCCGCTGGCCCCAGCTCGACGCTGAGGATGTCGATCACTCGAGCGCGATCCCTGACGTGGCCCTCGGAGCCCATCGAGGAGGCCGCGACCACCGCGGGCACGGCCCCTCGGTCGCTACGGAGACGAACCTCCGAAGGTTTCAAGAAGAGCACTATAGTAATAGCTATATAGATGTAGCTAGAAGCTACTAGGTGGAGGCCATCGCGGTCATAGGTTGGAGGCCATCGCTACGAACGGAACAAGAAGCTAGAAAGAAGTTTGTTGGAAGGAATCGAAGATCTTCCAGAAGAGAGCACACGCTTTTCTTGGGGGGTATCTCAGGTTCCATAAATCCATTCATTCAATAGTTGTTGCACCCTTGACTTTTAAGGACGTTGTTTGTAATGCACGGTGCTGATATAGGCCACTCACCTTTTTCTTTGCATCCCTTCAATGCCACTTTGCGCCCATTCAAGACGGCGGGGGGGCTCTTCTACCGAGGACACCATGACGAGCATGGCAGAGATCTAAGTGATCTCAGAAGGTGGGCTGTCAGACCTTGCCACTTTGCCACTGTGAGACTGAACCACTGACCAACACGAAGCTCAAAGGATTCCGGATTGCCATGCTAGCATATGCTAGTGGTCCTAGTACTAGCTCGATTCAGTCATGCTCCGGACCAGAGGAGGAACTCCAAAGCATTGTTTGCTTGATTCAGTGAGGAAGGTTTGCTCAAAAGACATCTAGACCAAGTTTTGACACACAATCGCTGAGATGTTGTCCCACAACCACACCAATCACTGAGTTGTTCCCCAAGCATTGTACGTTCATGCTATATAGTGCATTTCATGCTGCATGACCCTGCATGGCTAAAGTTGTCAACAAATCTGGCCGCAGCTAGTAAATGCCGATGTGGTTGTGGGTATGTTTCGTTCAAGCTGCATGCGATCTAATGAGAACCTTGAGCATCATCTATCTATACATAGGCTATCATGGGCTTATATACTCAACCACAAACATGTTCTGTTCAAGGTCACGGTTCGACCTTCCATTCCACAAAGAGCTGAGTCTCCGTGGTGGGTATGTCAAAAACTCCCCAGTAGTTGCGACAGGATACGTCCGATACGTGTTGATTAGCTGAGGAAAACTTGGTCCTGTTGCTGGTTGACCACTGCTTTTTACCAAGCAGACCAGACTGGCATCCGCGGCTGGCAGGTGTGTCGAGGGGACATCCCTGAAACCTCTTACCATGTCCTATCGTCCAACTGCTTCCCTTGTGGAGAGTGGCGGGATGTGGCGGGTGGAGCTGCCGCATTACGTCTCGGTGCCAACCATCGTGGCCTCTGATGGGTCAAAAAGACCATAAGACGAGGATGTGCTGTGACCGATGGTTGAGTCCTTTCAAGACAAGCAAACTCACACAAGAATTATAATTCAGCGAGTATATTTAGTCAAATGATAATATACATAATAATACGTCACTAATCACTATATATTCACTAATTATAAATCATAGATAGAATCAAAACTCCAAGAATGAGATAAATCGAGGTCGGTTTTTGTTTGGAGCATGCCTTAGAGGCTGGGAGTTATTCGGATTGGGTACTTCAGAGCGACAACTTGTCAGTTTCTGGGCCAGAAACGACTCGTAGGAGTCGAAGAGGAGTCGCAGGTTCCATGAATGAGTTTTCCCCATTTGTGTTGTTGTTTGTTGTTTCTCTAAAATCAAGCTTAAGACTATTTAATAAGACATATCAGGTTCTATGAGGTTTCTTTTGTTTTGTAAAGTAACTACCTTTACATCATAAAGGTCTCGGTCTATGCATGATGTTGTGTCAAGTATGAACATTGGAACACCTTACAGTCCAGTGAAGCCCTTGACGCTGCGACAGCTCCAGTTGTTTTCAGCACGAGGAATGGAGTTCCCGTCGCACTCAGGCGCCTGAAAACGGTGGCGCGCACAAAGTGGCTCGAGCTAGCTGCTAGATTGTGATTTGATCATCAGGATGGGCAATCAGATTTGTGGGCTGCTTGGAAGATCATCTCAAGGGTGAACACAGGCCTTGTTGTTCAAATGACCTATCAGACCTATCATCAAGCGCCATCGGAGTCGAGGAAGCATTGAAACAAGGCCCATGCTGTAACGATCAGGCGTTTTACATTGTTTCACTGTCCGGTGCAGGCTGCAAGAGATATGCTTGCATGCGTGCAGAAGAGATTGTTTGCATTGGTCAGATTGTAAAAGAAAGCTGTCGCAGTTGGCTCATGATGATCTTCTAGGAAACAGGTCCTGCCCTTATAAAACAAGCCAGCAACCCGAACCCTTTATATTCGCAGGTTATTTCATCCAGCTGTGTTCATCTTGGATAGTGGGTGACTTGACCATGAAATGTGTCGGTCACATTGACCCCCTCACCCTTGATCCAGGTCCACTTCCGCGTCTTTGGAAGGTTGCGGTGAAACAAATTTGTCTTCACAGTTTCAGGCGATTCAAAAAGGGGAAGAGATTCAGCCTGAAGAGTGATTACTCGGTCTTTCATGTGTCTCACACACCAGAACCGCACGACAGGTCTCCGTATTCCTTTGATGATCTCAGAGAACATCTCCCTGGGCGACTGCACTTGGCAAGGCGTCGGCCTCCGTGAGGGCATCTCCACGGATGTTGTCGGCTTTGGAAGCATCGGAATGGGCCAACAAGAAGCTACGAGTAATAAGGGCATCACTACCATAGAAGCAAGGACGCTATGAACGTAGCTCCTGGCATTACTAGTAACAAGAAGCTAATCTTGACATCAAATAGCTATGGGTCATTGCACCGGGGGACTAACCGCTTGAGAGTAGACTGCTGCAGAGGTCAAGTGACCAGAGGTAGGGCCCAGGGCTTCGAGTTTGGACTCACAGCCAAAAGCACGTAGACCATCGTAGACCTAATAAGCCACAATCACAGGAAAAACATGTGTTTTATTAAGTGTGTTATTTGTTTTGTTTGTTTTGCCACAGTGCTGCGAACGCGTTTCAGGCACAGAGGGCATCGAACTTTGCAGGTGGTTCTTTGTGACTTGATGAACAGTGGGAGCCACATCGAATAGAGCAGCCGGCTCCATGAACAAGATCACATCAACATCTACTCTCCTTTGGGCTTTCTACTTTGTGCCATCAAAAGCATTGTTTGATACATTGAATGCTTCTGCGACAAATTATATCGTGTCTGCTTTTCCGCATCGCTCGAGTCACAGTCGGATGATGCATGTCGCCTATCAGATCCGCAGCGCCGAAGCAGCGCGCGGCGCTGTGCCAGGTGAGATGCTGGCAGCCTTAAGTTTGCTGCCATGGTGGACCACCTCCTCAGCCGTGTCCTTGGACCATTAGAGATTTTTCCGGAGACATTGGAGCAAACCTACGTGACACAGACCTTGACTCCGGTCGACGGCATTCCTTGGCCTCCAGCAGATCCCGGAGATTTGGGGTCGACATGCATTTACCAGAGGTTTGGCAAGTTGCACATAGTGTGGGTCAAAGCAATAACCCTGAACTACCAAAAGGTGTGAGTCAGAAGAACCCCAAATTGGTTGAAACGCCGCGAGCAATCACGTTCCCACCAGAAATACTGTTCCACAAGCGAGCCGTCGAGTTGGTACGTTCCGCAGATTTCGTCGGATTTCGCGGGTGTTATTTTTTTTTTTCCAGATCTTGGTTTGCTGCAATCACCACAACCACCTGGTTTGCTGGAAAGTTGATCACAGGTTTTTCTTGACATCTTGAGATGTCTTCGAAGTCCTCAAGAGTGCTTTCCTGGGTCCCTCACACCTCACAAAGTGCGAACCGGACCATTTGTGACTGAAAATGGAGCTCCAGGGTGGAGTCGATCCATTTTCAGGAGTCCAGTTCAGTGTTTTGACCATTCCACTGCACTGCAAAACCATTTTGGCTCGGCAGCGTGCCAGACGTTCAAGGAACCTCGCCTGGCTTTGCTGGCCTCCGGGACTTCTTCCCAAAGTGCTGCACAGGCTGTCCCTGCGAATGGTGCGTTCGTTGTGTTCGGCGGTTGAGTGCTTACGCATGCGCCGTATAGGTGTGGGACAAGGCAGGATTGTTTGTAGACCAGCAGGAGTCACACACACACACACTGGATGTTCCAAGGTTTGAAGCATTTCAATGCGACGATACTGTTGCATGTACATGGAACCTACCTTGCATCACACTATTCATCTAATTCTTAGTATGGTGCAGGCAAATATTGTACGACAACTATCACCTGGCTGCTTTTTGTCAAGGGAACTCGACCTAAAGGTCGTCACAACATAATGTTCACAGTTGAGGGGAAGCAACAGTCGAGCGCAATATATGATTTTGCTTTTGACAAAGTATAGAATTTGGTTTCCTTATCAGCCCCACTCCCCCCACATAGTTTAGGTGTGCACCTGCATGCTTTTGCCGCCAGGTCCCATCGTTTGGCACTTTGTATCTTTTTTTGGGAACTCCACCCATCGGTTCGTTCAATCAATTTCACTTGTTGTACTTGTGCTTGTTCTTTGAGAACACAGTCGTTGGCCGTCGGTCAGACTCGTCCAGGCCTTGATGCTGTTGGCCACACCGACGATCCCTCCGATGGCGAGGCGGTTCAACCCGCCCGCCCGCCCGCCCGGTTGTCACCGGGCCGAGTCACCGGGGGCGAAGAACGTGGGTCACATGCTTTCGGTACACTCGGTCCCACACGGTTTCAAATGGAAGACGCTCTACGAACTAAAGGGGTTTTCCACGTCCAATGTTAGGGAGTGTATACACGACCAGTTGTGAGTCAAAATGAAGAGGATTGAGACTCTTTTCTTCAGGGCGGTTAGTTGGGCGGTCGTTTTTGTGGCTCAGGCAGCCGCTGACACACCTACTGCCAGACTACGTGGTGCTAGATGTGGAGGTGGCACACACTCCACTGCGACTGCTGTTTGGTATGGTGTTGCCGCTGGACTTTGACAACCCTAGACTATGAGCCCAGAGAAGCATGCGGTGGGAACCTGTACCACTCTTAAGGTGTGTACGGCTAAGGTGTTTCAAATTATTGTTTATTCCCCGGCAGATGTCCCAGTGTTGACTTTGAACTCAACCTCTTTCTGGATCTAGTTAGTCATCGTTTGGATGTTTGGATCCTTGCGAATGCTCAATGACCTTCACCTTCCACGAGTCCTACTTCCTCAGATTCACTGCGTGGAACAGACAAAGGTCTCCCAGTCAGTGAGTACGCCAGCGAGTACCGAGTGACGGCATGTGACGGACGGCATGTGACGGACGGCATGTGACGGCCAGGAGACGCGTGCCAAGGGAGCAGGGGGTTACCTGGCGGCTGGCCAGGGTGCCTCAGTCGGCCTGATTTCAACGTCTTTGAGCTGTGCGAGTGATCACCCAAGTCTTTGAACTCCCCACTGGGCTTGGCAGCCAGTGAATTGCTGGGACTAATACAATTCCTTAGTTTCCAATGAGTCAGCAACCAAAGATACTCCAATTCGGCTCCGCCAGACACCGAACCACCGAACCACCGTCCGAGGCTTCTGGAGCCACGACTGGCAACGCTTGCCCAGCGCCTACGAGCGCTGCTGGAGAGGCGCTGGGACAACGACGGTGTCTGGGTCTTTCAACCCGGAGTGACCCACAGCCAATCACAGCCATGTGAAGCGCCACTCGCAAAACATATATATATATATATACAGTACATCATTGACTCATATAGTGCAGTATGTTTCACATTGTTGATATTGTTGCACCTTGTCGCTGGGCGACTAAGTCACAAAAGTGTCGTCGGTTCCTGTAAGACTCTCCTTGCTGTTGTGGTGGGGATGCGGATGAGCTGGATCAGCTGTCCAGAGTGAAATTAGCCCAGCTTTGGGGACCTTGTGGAGAGTCTATTCATGTATGCTTTTCAATCATGCAGTAAGCATTTGATGAGGACATCATGATAACGCTGTCGTGGTTTGTGACGCATTTGTGTGTGTGGCTTTACAGAATCCAGTTGTCTCACCAGTCAAAGGGGCCAGCAGACAGTTGAAAGAAAGAGCGACAAAAAACATACTCCAAACACAACGTCGCTCTAAACGGCCGATCGATGCATCACGAGGGTTCGGCCGCTCCTCTCGATGCATCTCACTGCTGAGTTATCATTGCTCCAGCAAATCTGACCCGGAAAAAACAAGGTCCACCACACAGCAATCCAGTCTTCCAGTCCTATGGGCTTTGTCTTGGGCAACGGCCTCAGCTGGGGAGTGGCCTATGGGCTCATCGTTGCCATGGTGACCCACATCGGGTGATCGTTGCCATCGGCTCATGAGGATCGGAAGGCGCGGAAGGCGGATCGGGGTGTCCGTGCAAGTTCAGTTGGAACGCCATGCACTCCTTGACATCGCAGTTGATGATACAGATCTTTCTAGTGAAGAACATCTAAGGTATTCTAAGGGTATCTAGGGTGAGACACTTCTAGGCAGCAAACGCTTGATCAGGCATGGTTGTTCTCGGGTAGTCCACTCAATTATGGACATTGGCCTTCCTGGCCGATCCCATTCCGGCTGATCTCAAGATTGTTCAAACATCTTCAATCACAAGTCTGAAGCACCGCTATTAGGTTGGAGGCCATCGCTATTAGGTTGGAGGTCATTGCTAGCCAACATCTATGCCTTGCGAGACTTGGCGACAGAGTCAACCAGAGAGACCTGGTGACTCAACCTTCAATGTTAGTACTGCTAAACTTGTCATTCAACTCTCCAACTTGGAACTGTGTTGTTCTTTTAAGTTCACCAGTAACTGTTTCAACAATCATTGTTGTGGGAAACATTTCCCTTGAGTTGTTGCTGGGAGTGTATGATAATGCGGATGGAGCTATGTTTTTCGCTGCACCTTTCTCAATCACCTCCAAACGTCTCAAGACTAACAAGACATCATCTATACCTCTGAACACCCCAGCCCCAAGGGGAGGGCCCACCAGGCGCCTGATCCGATGCGTCCGGGAGGTGGAGATCGACATGCGTGTCCTCGCTGGGTATCTGGTCGCCTGGCCGAGTGATGGCTTCCCCCCAAGGCCGGCAGTCCTTAGGAGATATGGATGTGGCTCAAAAACATCCAGAATTCCACAGCTTGAGATGTACCCTGTGTTGTGGAATCGCCATTGGTATTGTATACTATCATAAGATACACATAAAGAAGCCGGTATACCGACATGAACTAATTCTCCAATAGCTTCGTTTGCTGTAGTGTCAACCGCTTCGCCTTTAACATACCCGCCCGATACCGGGATAGGGCCCCGTAGGATGATTCGAACCAACAACAACAACCACAACCCCACGGATCTTCGGGGCAGACTCTGGCTTTTGGAGAATTGGTCTTTAGTCGGCAACAGTGAGTTCATCATTTCTTAGGCAAAGCATTTCTGTGCTTTAAAGCTTGTGTTTACTGTGTAAGCACCGATCATATGATCATTATACTGTATAATATATATGAAGGTATCAAAGTCTTTGTGCTGTGCGAACTGACGCCACGACCACCCAGACTAGTGCCAACCCACCAACCAATCAACCATCCCACTAGAGGTGAGGTCGGAATGTGGTCATTGTTGCGAGGATCGAAGATGGACATCTAAGGTGGCTAACGTCTCAGGTGGTCAACTTCCTCAATGAGGCTGGTGGCTCAGAGAATTTACCGGTGATTTTTTGCACCTGGCCATGGACATGTAGTCAATGTGCACAGGGACAGCTCGAGGGAGTACCGGTAGAGGATGCCTCTTTACAATGCTCGCGTTGTTCCGTGGGTGGAACCAGAAGTTGCATATTATGTTCAACAAGTAAACCCACAAGCATGTGAACAAGCACCAAGATTCCTGCCTTTAATATGTATATGGAGCCATCAGACAGGGAATTCATAGTCTCTGAAAAACCATCACAAAGTGCCCGTGACAGGGTGCCATCCACCACATGCGCAACCACGAGCGCGGCGGTGCACGCAGCCTTCCACGCAGCGTGGGCTGCTGGGCAACGAGCTTTGGAAACTTGACTTTGACTTTCGGCTTGAGAAGTCGATCACTTTATGCTTATGGCTGCCAAGTGATCGACTTATCCTTTTATATGCCTTTGTATGGCCTTTGTATGCCTTTATGTTTTTTTTTTTGGCTTTGTGACGATCCATAACATGCCTTTGTGTCCGGGGACGTGGAACCTGCCTCTAGCCGCGCGTTACGCGCCCAGGCAAACAGGAGTATTGGGAGAGCTTCTATTCCGGCGACACTGCCTCTTGGGCCTTTAAATCTGAAGCGGAGAATCAATATATCATCGTTTGTGGGGCTGTGTGGAGGTGAAGAGTTTCTCATGTAACAGATGTATGCCTCAAAAGAGAGTCACCTTTCTATATACTATATGTATGTGAATGTGATTGTGTATATATATTATATGTATATATATATATAGTTTTTTTAAGTTAGACGATCATTGTGATTCAACCCTTCTTGTTTGGGGTCAGAATATGACAGAATCCAGTCGAACAGTGGGCGATTCTGGCACTGCACTGAGCCCAGGAGGATGCGAAAGACTTCGAATGGTTTTGTAGTTACGAGGAGAGCTGTGGAGCAATTTGGGAAGCCTTCAAGTGTAGGTGTGTGGACATGTTTGGGAGTATGAGCGGTGCGATTTCAGAGTTTAACTGTGTCAATGACAAGGGAATTCGACCTCAGATGATCTCAGATTGAGATTCTTCACTGACCAAAACGATCCACAAAGCAAAGTCAAGGATGACAAACAGCGTGCCTATTGCTTCATTGGAGCAAACAACAGGCAATTTAAGCTACGCTGGGGGATCTGGGGCTTTGTGTTACTCCCAAAACGGACGCCATCAGGACATCGAACCCTTCTTCAGGGACTTCGCGCGGCCCGCGCTGGAGAAGCCTTCTCCAGCCGCTTTGAGGTGGGACCGAGGACGTCAAACAAACCCACTGCCCTGTCAGCAACGCAAGGATTATGCTATTTGAAGGCTTCAAGTTCAATGATTTTCAAACTATGTTTCTTTAGAGTTTGCTGGGATTGGCAAAATCTATTGGAGAAACCCACAAGGTGGATGTGTTATACTATGATTACTGTAATTATTTAGATGCGGCTCGAGGAAATGTGGCTTGGCTGCATGGCAATCAATATCATTCAATGTTTGTGGAGGAGCCAGTCTGGAGACTTTGGGGATACATAGGATCCAATGAGCTGCAAAATGTAACCAGTTGCGGATCCTATGCCACCTTGGGGGTGGTTTTGGATGACTTTGGGGTCGGTGTTTGAACTAGCAGCCAATCTGAGGATGCAGTATGCAGGTGAGCATTCCAAAGGAAGCTCCTCCCAGAAAGTCAGTCCACGCAATCGCAAGTAGAACGATTGCTGCCAATGTCCGAAAGCCATCATGTTCATACCTTCAGTGATGTCATGTGCTGTCCACACGCTGTTTTCCTATGCCCACGCACCAGGCCACAGCTTATGATTGCAGGCTGCGGGAATTCCCGTTTGGCCAACGCTGGGCATCCCGGTGAGACGGAGAGTCGGGAGACTCCTCAGGGCCAATTAGGGCGAATCCAGACCCAGACCCAGTGCCAGGACGAAGGACAAACCTAGATCAGCAACAGAGCAAAAGTGTGCCTGCTGTTGGGGGTGATGCTGGCCGTGGTAAACCCATGCACGAGGCAAAGTAAGATGTTTATGTATCGCTTCAATAGCAAAACCGGTCGCTGATGGTGGGGGGAATGAGGGCAGTGATCATCGATGTTTCGATGAACTGATGGCCCTTTTGAAACTGCATGCTTAACCTACTGTAGTTTTGCTCAAGGTGATCTTTCTTTTTCCTATGGGCATATCTCCTTCTGGGGAAGATGTTGTTTTTCTTTTTTTCTGGTTCCTTAAGCAAATCCAAGCTCGGGACTAGTAACCATGCACAGCCATATCAGTGGCATCCAGAGGACGGGGAAGCTTACCACAAGGATATATTCCGCATCGTCCAACTGGTAGGGTATTGGTCTAAGCTGAATGAAGCTGAATACAGCAGCGCGGGTAATGGTCCTGGTCTGTCGTGCAGCATGTGGATGTAGCACCGAGGAGATCTACGACGACCTTTCGAGTGATGGCATCGAGGTGGACATTTGGAATGTGGACTACGCTGAGGCCAGCATGCACGAAGGACCTGCTGAAGCACCATCTACAATACAATAGAGTCTGCTAAAGCACATGGCTGGAACGCCACCCTACGGTTGGCACTGTTTTCTTTTTCTTGGGGAAGGAGACAGCTGGTTGAGATTCTGGCCTTTGAATTGGTCCAGACGTTGGACTTCTTTTCTGCTGAACAAGGGGCCAAAGCCTAGTCTTAGAGTTCAGGTAAAAATATACAAAAATTACCCCAACCATTTTGAATGCAATACACCCCCTCACCTCTTTGTAGAGTAAAATGGCCATCCAAGCGGTCATGCCATCCCCTTCCATGGCATTGCCCCAAGGCCGCCATTGCCCGCGCACGCGCTGTGGCCGGAGAGCGCCCCCTAAAGCACGTAGTTGCGGACCTGCGAGATTTGCCAGAAGAGGCTCGCCCGCTTGAACAGCCTGAGCTTGTAACTTTGATTTTACCTGGTATGGTTTTTAGTACAGTATCTGAACTTTGCAGGCTACCCCACTTTTTGAATCAGGCTTCGGATTTGGGATGGTTTTAGCACAGGGATCGATTCTCTCCCGAGCTGCTCTGGTTGGTTCGGGAATGATTGACAATGTTTCATAATCCTTAGCATGTCTTCGGCTCACCACCCAGTGCCAGTGTAAGCCTCTAGGCTAAGCGATCCATGTTCCATTGGTTTGGGGTCGGAATGGTTTGTGGATGTTTGCAGTTGCTAGCATCCTTTGTGTGTGGCCTTGAAGAGTTGATGATGCCCAGCTTGATCGCTTGATCCAGGCGGCAACCCCCCTAGAGGAAAACCATGTTTTGAATCTGAGAAGTGGGTGACCAGGCGGGTCAAGAGACCAAAGATCGGTAATTGATGACTTTCTTGGTGAGCTGTATTTGCATGGTAGATCTTGCTATGTGCATGGCCAAAGCTGGGAGGAAAGTCCATGTGTTCACCCTTAACAGGCATGCTTTCTGCACACCATGCCGAACATCCTTTGTTGCGGACGAATGCAAAAGCCGGATTCCTCGTACAAGCCCCGGACTGAGACCGTTCCTGTGGTCAGAAGCTCATGGATTGGGCTTGTCCTATGGAGTAGGGCACGTCAGCCATAGATACATAACAAGGAGCCAAAATAATTCTTTTTTGGGGTTTGCGCATTATGTTCACATGTGTTCGCTCTATTTACGCATGTTGTTCACCTTTTTTTTCGCATTGTTTACGTTGTTCGTTTGTTTTCGTTCTTTTTTTTCCTAGGAGACTATATACAGCGAATATTGCTGACGGGTAAAAGTTATCATAAGTGCAGAAGTGGTACCAGGAAAAAAGCAAAGAACATAGCAAAACAAATGCAAACACAAAGCAAATTGCGTTGCTTTTGCATTGTCAGTTGCTTTTGTTTTGCATGTGTTCACTGTTTTTTTGAAAAACAATTTTTGATGGTTGGTCATACATGGCTGCCATTGCTCAACACAATCCTATTACCTGTGACAGTCAGTAAACCATTATCATGCATGTTGACTATTTTGAACAAGGCCTGCAACCTAACCATCATCCACTGGGCGGGCCCGAATGGGAGGTTAGACCCAACTCATGGAACTCATAGAGTCCGGACTCCCGGGCCGTACGGGACCTGAGACCTTTCCGGAGAACAGCTTTGATGTGATCGTGGACAAGGGCACCATGGACGCGCTCTTTTGCGCAGGAGACGGAGGGGCGCGCTGGAGACGGTTGGGCTGATGGGCTGCTTTGTTGGGGCGGGACCTCGTCACCGGGAGCGACGGGTGGGAGGAGCATCATCCAACAGATGAACACCAGATGCATCGTCGACACATGTTTGGAAACAATGGTGTTCTGCATTTTCTCCATAGCAACTGGCCAAGGAACAGACTGGATCCAGCTACTCGATTGTGTTTGGGTCACTCTCCGGCTGCCAGACTGCGCATGGTCCCTGATGGGTTGTGCTCAAAAACCTCCCAGACTGGTTCATTCATCCTGTTTTGCCGCCTGAAGTCCTGGGGAACCATGAGTTGGAATCCTGAGTGTGAGATTCCTTTCTGGGAACACTAGCCCAGCGCTTGGCAACTTTACGTGAGTCACACCCAAAGCCTACTACGCTAGGGTTCAAATAGCTTCCCATTCTCACACAACATTCTACATGAACGACGTTCAGTGCAAGATTCTCTCCAAGCTGTCCAGCTAAACATAGGGCGCCTCACCTCGAATTCTTTTTCGCTCCGCCTCACCAGGCGGCCCCTCTGCCCAGCGCTGCGCCGAGCAATTGCACAAAGTCTTACGACCCTCTGGCGTAATGCTGGTGCTCTCAGGGGTCGCATCCAGCCAGGCGGGTTGACCGCGAGGGGACAGGACCGGAAAACGTGCGTGGTGACGTTGGGGAGGGGGAATGTTTGGGGGTTAGTTGATGGTGGCTTCTGAGGTGAACGAGTGGTTGAACTGCTCAAAATCTGACCTGTAGTGTGATGAGAACCAGATACAGCCCGCACACCGTGTTCTTAGAAGAAATTCAAGAAATTCTGTTTTGAGGGTTCCATCTCCAATCAAACTGACTCTCAAGTGTAGTGAGATCTACGATTATCAGAAGCCTCCACTGTAACCAGGCCTGGCCTGATCTTCCACCGGGAAGCTTTGAGATATTTGCGCCAGGAATTGCTGCAAAGCTTCAGGGATTGGACGACGATCCTGGATGGCTCGCCCTACATCACTGAGGAGGGCGAGGCGCGGCCCGCACGAGCGATAGAACGCGTGTCCGCATGACTGGTGACAACTCGGTTCTTCTCAGTCCTTTTGGAGTTTCGAGAAAAATGACTTAAATCTTAGGTTGGAGGCCATCGCCATTGGGTTTCATAACATGTACATCATCCAGATATGTGTTCAACATGCACCAATTGTGCTTTGCCCTGAATATATGATTAGTTATATGTGTTGTCTCCTTGTGGTGAGTTGGTCACACTGTGGATGTTTGTCAAAGGATTCTATTTTGGGGATTTTGATGACGGAGCCCCTGTGGGTTCATCTCTTTTGGAGTCACCCAGGTTACATCATTTGTACAAAGCGACACACTAGAACAACCCATTTCCAAGAGTTCCAAAGATGCCTATCGGAGGGTAGGGTGCCTATGATCCACTCACTTAGGGGCTCAACACCATTCCTTTGCAACTGCTGGTGTAGAATTGACAGTTGAACTTGTTTTATGCAGTCCAATGGATGTATACTGTATACTTGGTTTGCTCGGCACACCACTTCAGCCACTTCAGCTCCTGGATTCCAATTCCCTACAGCCCCTGGATTCCAGCAAGCCACCCGTGGTATGTCGTCGTTTTGGTGATCAGCCACGTTTGAAATCCACTTGAGGCCAGCATCAACCTCCGTTCTCGACTCTTCGTCTTTCCCAAATGAGCCCTTCTCAGCAAGAAGAGCGTCGCTGGAACACATGAGGAATGATCGCACCACGTGGAGGGAGGCGCACGCGCCCGGGGGGGGGAAGAAGTGAGATGGCGCAAACGCGCGCCCAGCTCGGCGAAGAACATCGGCCTTTTGCTCGGTTTTCGTGTAAAGGAAAACGCCCTTTGTTTCCGGCAGAGTGGGCCAAAGCCAAGCATTCCCTTCTTCGATGATGCTTGGGGTGTACAACCCCCACGTGCTGCAAGGGGATCACGAGATGTACGAGCGAGCTCAGCCCACCTTCGATGGCGGTGCCAAGAAAATGGGAGAGCGGCGTGTGAGCAAGTGTGGCAAAAAGGGCCCTTGGCATCCTCTCTTTGTAATTAATCCGGTCCACCTATTTAAAAGCACGGCCCCCCCCCCCTTAATAAGGAAACCTCGGTCGCATTTTTTCTAATAAGGGGGTCCCTGAAATCCGGGGGTCCAAAATAGGGTCACCTGGAAAGAGTTTCAACACCAAAAAGTAATCCAGGAAAACTTTATATAAAATCCTTTATTAAACTCGTATCAAAAATGCAAAAAAAAACTCCAGATCGAAGGGTCTTCCTTTTCCCCTACAAAAACCTTCATTAGAATAGTGATTCTTCAGTAGACTAACAGCTAAAGCTTTCGAAAGGTGATGTCGCTGTGCCATGCGGTGTTGCATGACCTCGGTGGCAAGTGCGTTTGCGTGAGTCCGTGCCATTGGGGGAAGGAAAGCCTGCTGGTGTAAGCGCGGCGTGTCATGGTGGATAGACAGGGCGGACGGAGGTGGGCAAATATAAGCCGTACTTAGGGGGATCCGACATGACTTTGTTTAATAGGGGTCCGTTTTTTAATAGGTACTCGGGATTAGTGCACATTTGGGATCTACCTCATCAACAGACGTAAACATGTAATATGTGAACATGACTTGAGCTCGGTTTCCAACTTCCGCCCCTCCGGAGGAATCAGCAGCCTGTGAGGAATTCGCATCATAAAGCATATGGGAGTGTTTAGTCTCCAATAAACCTATTACGAAAGCCAGCCTTCGTAGAAGGCGCTAGCGGAGTTGTGTCTGGCGAACGAAGTGAGGAGTTAGGGGGTCTGGGGGGGTGGCCCGAGAAAGGTATACGTCAACTCAGCACATGCTGGGGGAGGAGGGTGCTCCGAGGGAAGGTTTTTTGAGGTTGTGTTGGAGGTGATTTTTGAGGGGTGGTGATGCAAGAAATGCCAAATGCATCATTTGCATCATCTGAATGGAAAGGTGTAGTTGGCACCTTGCAAGGTAGAGAGACCTAGGGTAGCTATAGTGCAGCTACCAGGTATAGTACTTCAAGTTCCCTTTCCGTCAACCGCTTGAGAACCTCTACACACGCACAGCAATCCACAGCCTTGAAGTCTCATTCGTGCTTTGAACTTGTATAGGTGTGTAAGAGGTATAGCAACATACTATTTATACGGACCCAGGGTAGCTACAAGTAGCTACAGTTCTGGTATGGCGCGCATGAGGCTTCAAAGCTGTGGTTTTCAAGCTAAAGTCAAGGTGGCCTGAGACCAGGGTTTGCTGCCCTAAAACACTCTGTTCAGGCCACCTTGAAAATAAAG